ACTCTGGTAATGTATAGTGAGAAGACTCACCTCGGGTAACTTGGTAATCTCGAACTCTGTAAAAATATGGTCTAGCCTCCGCCTAATCATATAAAATAAACACTCTTAATCAATACATCTCTCAAGGCTAGACTATTCCCTTTCTTAGTACTCTCAGAAGGGTAAAAGACTATTTTATCCCTCTCGTGGCTCAAAGACCCTAAATTTGACCAAACCCTAAAAGTCAATAAAAGTCAACTCTCCGGGTTACGCTGCGCGTACCAAACATGTACGTTGGGCGTACCCGGCATCCTCACAGAAACGGGGTATGTGACCCCTTACGTCGCACGTACTGGGATTACGCCCCGTGTAACTCCTAGTTTCAGACTCCTTAGCTTTTGAGGTCTTAAATAGTTAATACACACGTCCAACTTTCAGATCTGACCATCCCTAAGCCTCTTAATCCATAAAGTTGGTGACTTTAAGCCTTTGCATGGATGGACAAGTCACTAACACCCATAACATTCCATTACCAACCCTAGAAATCTCATAACTCAAGCATGACCCCATAACAACGACCAAGTTGGGATTTTTATGGATCTGTAACACAAATATCACTGAAATGGGATAGATTTAGGTCCATGGAGTCCATTACACTCATAAAGTCTCCACCTTTGGGACTTAAAACCCTAGAAATGGTCCATGCAACATCAAACCATATAAAGAGGAAAGTTTTGAACTTTATACCTCTAGATGAAGCTCCTTCCTCTGAAGATCTCAGATACAAACTTGCACTTCAAGCCCTAGACTCACAAGCTCCTCTCTTTCTTCTTCACTAACACACTAAGGCACTTTTAGCTCCAAAACACTCACACTCAAGCTAAGGACGATGGAAGGCTCTCTTAGGGTTTCACTCTCTGATATGGAGGCTGAGAAATGAGCCTTAGCATTCCTTATATAGTGCACAAGCCAAATATTAGGGTTTGCATCTGGGCCCTCTACGCCCAGCGTACCCAGGTGATTCCGCGTCCAACTTAAGCGCATGAGTACATGCAACGTATGCCCCAGTACGCCCAGCGTACTCATTTGCTACAAGAACTCACTCAAGGGACTAATCTTGACAACTTGAGAAAAGGGAAGGGTTAAATAGCTTCGTCTTCTCTTCGTCTCCCTCACTCATCAAAATTTGATGATACCCCTTATATACATCCAAGAAACATTTTAGCTTGAATCCTTGCAATGACTTGACTTTCTGATCGATCTCCGGGAGAGGATAGTAGTCCTTAGGGCATGCTTTATTCAGGTCTGAAAAGTCAATACACATTCACCAAGACCCATCTTGCTTGCGTACCATAACTAAGTTAGAAATCCAAGTTGGGAAAATTACTTCCCTTACTATTCTGGCCTCCGTCAATTTAGCTACCTCTGCGTTAATCGCCCTGTTGCGGTCCCCTCCCTGGATCCTCTTTTTCTTCTTTACTTCCTTTACCCCTGGTTTGATCATGAGTTTATGCTCAATGACCTTCCGATCTACCCCCACCATGTCCGTAGGGGTCCATGCAAACACATGTTTGTATCGCTTGAGGAGATTAACCATTGCTTCTCTTACGTGGCTTGGGAGATTATGGTCGATGCTGACCGGATGATCGGGATATCTTTCGTTAATTACTTCTTTTCCTTTTGTAGGATCGTATTGTAGCTTCTTTGTCTCCGTGGTTATCTCTGCTGGTTTCATGACTGTAAGGCATTGCAATTCTTTAGGTGCCGTGGCAAGTATTGCACCCGGACCAGCCGAGGTGTCGAACTTTATGATTCTATGCATGGTCAATAGGACTGCTCCTAGCTTTAGGAGGGTTGTTCTACCCAAGATGATGTTGTGTTCCACCGGGTGTCAGATGACAACGAAGTCGATCAGAACCGTTTTCTTTCATTGCCTGTCATGGCTAGTTATCGTCAAGGGGAGATAAATTGTACCTAACAGCCATAGGCTGTGACCGGTGAATCCAACCAGCCTCCTAGCCGTAGGTCTTAAATTGTCCTTCCAGCATTCCAGGAGAAGTCGGTAATAGTGCTCGTAGATTATTTCTACCGAACTCCCTGTGTCGATATAGACTCTATGTATGATCACATCCTTAATGGAGGCCTAGATTACCAGTGGATTATCGCCTCTCCATCCCTCCGGTCTAGGGTCTTGTGCAGAAAACGAGAGTGTTCTTGCCGGGAGCCTGGGAATCCATTGGTTGGCCGCTTGCTCCTCCCTACTCCATTTGTTGCGTACCATGTATATCTCCTTCGGTTGAGCCCCGTCTCGCAGCGTGTTCTTTGCATTTTTGGCATCGAATTTGGTATGTAGGCTCCATGCTATTACCACTAGGTCTCCCTTGAGCCGCTTTTCTTCTATTTCCTTCTTGAGCACCGAACAACTAGCAGTATCATGTGTCTTGCTTTTGTGGTACTCACAGTATCGATTCTTCGATGACTTGGCTGGTTGTTGTTTCTCCGAAACTGTGTACATGTTCGGTCGACGACCCCGCCTGTCGTCTCTGATGAATGGTCGGAACCGCTCCTGAGGCCTCCTTCCTAGGCTGAAATGCATACTTCCCCCACGAAATTTCGTGTGGCTTGGATTGTGGCGCTTGTTTGTGATAGCTAGGTATGCCTGCTTTGCTGCCTCGCCTTCCTCCTACCACAAATATCGTTCCATCCTCTTTTTTAGCTCTACCCTTGTTTGGGGTTTCTTACCCATAAGTTTTTGCGATAAGGGGTCTGGTAAGAGTCCCCACGTGAAGGCGCGCCCTTCTTCGTGTCCCGACACATCTAGTGTAGCGTTTATGAACCTTGTGAAATATTCTCGCACAGTCTCACCCTCCTTCTGCTTGCAGCCAATTATGGAGTGAGAGTCTCCCTTGTACTTATGTAACTGCATAAAGTTGGTAAGAAATAAGTATTTGAGCTATGCAAAGTTGGAGATGCCGCCTGGGTGCAACATCTTAAACCACGTGCCCGCATTGCCATCAAGGGTCGTCGGAAAATAGGTGCACCAAAACCTCTCGTCAAGCTTCAGGGATGTCATCATCCACTCATACGTGTCAATATGGCTATCTGGGTCAGTGGTGCCATTGTAGGTCTTGAGTGTTGGCAGTTTAACTGTGTTGGGTATTTCGTAATCCAACAATTCTTTGACGAATGGGGATGTGACGCTGCGAGAGAGGGGAAACCCAAGAAAAGTGGTGGTAGCGAAAGCAGTGCACACGGTCCGCCCGTCATTTGTTGTAATGGTGGCACCGGGAATTGTGGTTGGACATTGAGGACCTGGCATAATGGTAGCGGCGTTGAGTGAACCAATGGCGGTTGTTGCACTGGTGGTACAAAGAATGGCAGCATTTGAAGAAAGGTGGTCAACAATGTCACTGCCTAGGTTGCTGTCGACCGGTGGATTGTGGGTTGCAGGGTAGCATTGGTGGTTATTGTGAAGTTGCCCTCACCTGAGGGTGCTCTGTTGGTTGCCGGAGGTGGCGGTGTTTCGTCCAACGTTGGCATGGAACATATGGGACTAGTCTGACGTCCACCATGTCCATCGTTGCCGTCGTATGCCATTGGTTCTTCAAAGTTGCTTTTAGTTTGTGTTCTTCGTCTCACAAACGGATGGCGCCAAATGATGTGTATGGCAAATCTGACCTATCTAAGGTTGTTGAATCAGATTCCTCATCGCCTCTGCAAAATCAAGAGAAGAAGGTCGTCAGCCGTTCCCGGGAGGGTGCTCCCGGAAGAACGCTCCGACGGTCAAGTTAAAATGCTTCTAGGGTTTTCTGTGTGTATTTTCAGCAAGGAAAGAGTGCTTACCTCGTGAGGCCAAGGGCGTATCATTATATACCTAGTGCTCCTGCCTAGTTCGTACTAGACAGGATCGCTTTTTGAGGAGACAAGATCAAGGGCACTAATTGGAGGATCGTGCGTCTGGTACCGTTAGAGCGCTCTCATTGGTCTTGACGGTAATGGCCTGATTCTGTTGTTTGTCTCATGACCGTATCTTTTGTCTTGGAGCTGGGAGTGCCCCTTGACTGGCGCGAGCGTTCCGCTGGGATGCCCGGAGTATTCCTGGCGGGCGCTGGCCTTTTGTCGAGGCGCCCTACTCGCGGGAGCATCAGCGGGCGCTGAGCTTGCTGAGCTCGGCCTAGCAGGCGCGCTAAGGCCTTGGCCAGGGCATGGTTCTGTCATGCTGGCCTAGGCACGTCATCATTTTTCATTTCAACATAGTATATAATATTTAGGGTTTGTTTATATATACATCAATTTTGAGGACGACTTTTTTTTTGTGTTTTCACCGGGGCCTAAAATAAGTCATGTCCGGCCCAGTTGCGAAGAATAAAAAATACATTTCATGTATTTTCTTTTTCTAAATTAATGTAACTTTTAAATTTTTTTTATTCAATGAGGTATTTTTATTTTCAATTATTATTTGTTTTATAAATAATAATAAAATAAGAATGGTGGAATTAGTGATCGTATTTTTATAAGTGATGAGGCTGAAATGATAATATTTTATTTTTGGTGTTGTGGGGAAATAACTATAACCAATTGTCGGATGTGAATTTTCATAGATTTGGATTCAATTAAGCTGACATTGTAAACAACAAAGAGTTACCGACATGAAATATATGTCGACGATCCAAATCTTGTCGACACGGCCTGACTTCACAATTTGACTCTTCTGACTTATCTATAGTATATGTAGGTTTAGAATCTGTTCATTTTCTGAATTTATTAAAAAAGACGTGTCCATCTTCTCATGGAACAGCTTTTGTAATGAATTTAGTCATTAATTAATAATTACAACCTGAGGTTCTATCAGATGCCATGCATCTTCATTTCACCGCGTATACCACCTTTTCATCATCTCACTTCCCTCTATATAAAGACCCCCAAATCTCATTAAAGAAAACACAAGAAAATCACAAACGAACAAGTGTTCAACTCTACGTTCTCAAGCTTCTTCTATACCTTATCGAGTGAAAAGAAAAATGGCACAATACGGAGATCAGAAATACGAAGGAGAAGGTCCGCAAACAGATGAGTATGGCAACCCAGTTCCAAAAACTGATGCGTACGGAAACCCACTTCACTCTACCACCGAGAAAACCAAGGGTGAATATGGTGTAACTGGTCACCAGGGTCTAGGTCACGCCACCGGAGCAACTGAATCTTATCAAAACAAACCTAGCGCCACCCCTTATTCCGGCAGCGACATTGGCACAGGAACTGGTGCAGGCTACGAGGGACTTGGAGTCGCTGGTCACAAGCAATCTAGTGCCAGCACCGGCATGGGCACGGACATTGGCACTAAAACTGGGACAGGCTATGATCAACATAGCGAAGAAGGCTATGAGAAGCTTCTTGGTGTTCACAGCACAGACGATCATCAAAAGGTCTCCACAACAAAGGCTGGCAGCTTTGCTGGTGGTTTTGGGGAAGGAGGGGAAACCCACGACAAGAAAGGGGTGATAGAGAAGATCAAAGAAAAGCTTCCCGGTGGTCAAAACACAGACGAGCATCAAAGGGTGTCCACAACAAAGGCAGGTGGCTTTGCTGGTGGTTATGGGGAAGGAGGGGAAGCCCACGAGAAGAAAGGGGTGATGGAGAAGATCAAAGAAAAGCTTCCCGGTGGTCAAAATACAGATGGGCATCAAAAGGTGTCCACAACAACAACAGGCGGCATTGGTAGTGGCTATGTGGAAGGAGGGGAAACCCAGGAGAAGAAAGGGGTGATGGAGAAGATCAAAGAAAAGCTTCCCGGTGGTCAAAATACAGATGGGCATCAAAAGGTGTCAACCACAACAACAGGCGGCATTGGTAGTGGTTATGTGGAAGGAGGGGAAACCCACGAGAAGAAAGGGGCGACTGAGAAGATCAAAGAAATGCTTCCTGGTGGTCACAACACAGACGAGCATCAAAGAGTGTCCTCAACGACAGGCGGCGTTGGTGGTGGAGGTTATGGGGAAGGAGGGGAAACGCACGAGAAAAAAGGGGTGATGGAAAAGATCAAGGAGAAGCTTCCTGGACATCATTAGATTATATGATATCTTTGTGACGATGATGCATATGTGTATATAGAATAATGAGATGACAAAATAACAATCTAGTATTGTTGTCCTTTGTCATGTATGTTGTTGATGGAAGCAAGCAAGAGGTGGGAGTGAAGCATTGTATTGTGTGTTATCTCGTATGTAATTTGGTTTAGTTGTATTGTATTTAATTATGGAAGATATATACTTTGGTTTTTTCGAGCTTATAAGTGATTTTTTTTAACGATTATAGTCGTTAGAAGTTAGTATCACCAAGTTAGTTGAATTCGCCAACGTAATTCCGGACTTATAGTCTAAGAGGCAAACTCTGTACCAAGTAGGCTAGTCCTATAGTCCCACATTCACTTATAGTTGATTACTTAATTTTCGGTCTTGTGTAGTTATAATGTTTGGTCTGTGAATGTGGATCTAGTATTGTTTGGATGGATGATGTTATGTGCAAGTATAAACTGGTATAGTACATTTCGGAATAATGAATCGAGTATCACTAGTTATAACTACGAAGTACGAGTAGTGTGCAATAGCCAATTCAGTTGTATTGTTACTACAAAATGCCAAAAAGTATGTGAGAATCTTAACTTCTCATAGATTACATTTTAAAAACCTCCATGAGCAGTGCAAAAGATTGAAGTGACTACAAAAAACCGAAGTTGTAGAGCGACAGGATGGGTTGTGTGGGAAACTTGTTGCTAGATAGGTTTTAAGGTTAATCGGATTGCTTGTGGAGATGGCTTTCATGTAGACAAGATCCTTGTCATATGTATATTTTTCAGGATACGAATGTTTTCTCACCGTTATATAGGTTATGTAATGTCATTTTCAGGAGATGTACATTATGCCATTATTTAATTCATGTCTAGTTAGAGGATCTTCAATGAATAATTCTTTTTAAGTACTTAGTTACTTACGGTATCTGCCGACTATATTTTTATTAACAAATTGATAAAAGTAAAAAATACTCTAAAAATGTTTTTACCCCAATGTAAATAATTGGTATAAAGCTTTTTTATCTGTTGAGAATGATTTATACTCGAGAGTAAAAAGAACACGAAAAAAAGACTGGCAAAAATTGAATTAATGGCTGAATCTAGGCCGCTTACTGTCACCGAATTGGAAGAAAGATCAGGTTTGGGTATCAAGATAGATGAGCATACGAGGATGATTGCTATGAATCTAAAACAAAGAGCAAAAATAAAATGGGAAACTGAAAGTGATGACAACACAAGATTTTTTCATAACTATGTTAGCAACAGAAATCAGAAGAATCAGATTCATGGGATTATATCCAATGGGGTGTGGATCACTGAACCTAATGGTATAAAGATGGAGGCATCATGTTTCTTTGAAAATAAATTCAAAGTAGAATCGCCGAGAAGACCAAAGTTCTGCAATCACGGATTTAAAAAGCTATCAGAATGTGATGCAAGTTTCTTGGAGGGGGAATTCACAACTGTTGAAATAAAAAATGCGGTTTGGTCATGTGGGGGCGATAAGTCGCCGGGGTCGGACGGATTCACATTCAAATTCATAAAAAAATATTGGGAGCTGCTGGAAGATGATAATGTGAGGATGGTAAAGCATTTTGAAAGGAATGACACGTTGGCAAGGGGATGTAATGTTTCTCTCATATCCTTAGCTCCAAAATCAAAAGACCCACTTCATTTTAGTGACTTCAGACCAATTAGCTTGATTGGCTCCATGTACAAAATTGTTGCAAAACTACTTACAATAAGACTGAAAAAATTTATTGGCAGTATCGTTGACAAGGTCCAGTCTGCCTACATTGAAGGAAGAAACATTTTAGAAGGTCCGATGATAGTTAATGAACTATGTTCATGGGCGAAGGCGAATGGAAAGAAGACGCTCTTATTTAAAGCTGATTTCAATAAAGCATTTGACTCTGTAAATTTGGTGTATTTGAATTCGATGATGGAGCAAATGTGTTTTAGGTCGAAATGGAGATCATTGATTAGTGGGTGTCTGAGATCTGGAAGAGCTTTGGTAATCATTAACGGTAGTCCGACAAATAAATTTTCTATGTTAAAAGGTTTCAGGCAAGGGGACCCTCTCTCTCCATTTGTCTTCATCATCGGGATGGAAGGGCTAAACCAGGCAATGAAGACGACAGTGAAAAAAGGAATATTTGATGGCATTAAATTCCCACAATCCAATCTTTGCTTATCCCATTTATCTTACGCTGATGATGCATTGTTTATATGCGAATGGTCACGACGGAATGTTTCAAATCTAGCTCGGATCCTATGGTGCTTCCATGTATCATCAAGACTGAAGGTAAATTTCAAGAAGTCAAAGGTTTATGGAGTGGGAGCTTCTCATGTGGAATCTTCAAACTGGACAACCCCGCTGGGATGCGAACCTTCGACAATCCCATTCACCTATCTGGGAATTCCGATCGGTGAAAATATGAATTTGAGGAATGCTTGGAGACCAATTATTGATAAATTTCATGCAAAACTTACAACTTGGAAAGCGAGATCCTTAAATTTTGGAGGTAGAGTAACTCTTGCAAAAGTTGTACTTGGAAATCTTCCAACATTCTATATGTCTATCTTTGTGGTTCCTAATGGAGTGATCGACACCTTAGAAAGAATTAGAAGGAATTTTATTTTGAGAAGGTTGTACAATAAAAAAAAAGCATATGATGAGGAGACGTATGATCATGTTCTGATTTTTTGCCCAATGGCAAAGGAGACTATGGATTCAATACTTAATTGGTGTGGAACTGGGTGTGAGAAGTTTTCCTTGGTTAAGGACATGCTTTGTTTCATATCAATGGTCTGGTAATAAGAAGAAACAAAGCTTGCTGAATATGATATTATGTGGTACGTTATGGTGCATATAGGTTGGGCGAAATAAACGGATCTTTGAGAACATTTACATGAAATCAACAATGATTGTGGAAAGGATAAAGACTTTATCGTTCATCTTGAGCAAACAGAGAACTTCATTTAAAAAGATAGATTGGAGAGTGTGAAATATTTGCCCTTTTCATTGCTTGTAACTCTTCTGTTTTTCTGTTGTCTTTTGTACTCTTCTGCCACATCATCTTGTTGTGGTTTTAATTTTATATATTTTCCGTTTTCCAAAAAAGAGAATTACTTATAAAATAATTTGTTTTTCTTTAAAAAAATCTTTTTTTCTATAAGGTCACAATTCTTTAAATGAACTATTCAAAAAATAAAACGTTTTTCAAAACCTTATATTGGAGATGCTTTTATATACATCTTTCGGGAGACCTATGTTTCGTTCCGTCATCATAAGTCAATGGAGAAGGTGATATATCATCGTCAAAAAGTTGATACTTTCTAGTTTTTTTACAAAGGTTTTTATTAAATATATGTCCAAGCGACATGTCCCGGTCATAGAACATGTAGAATGTTATTTGCTAAATTTTATATAACTCTAATTCCCCAAACTAACCACAAAAATACAAGCATTATTCAAATAAAATGTAAACAATTTGATCAATGTTAAGACATATTCAAACAATCACTCTCCTCTTCTAAATTTTAAAGAACTTGTTTTGGATAGAAGTTGACTTGGATCGGATGGGGGCAATTGGTAGTTAGACCATCCACAACGGTGGATGGATTTTGTCTTTCAATTACATCTTGCAAATGATATGGAGTGTCATGTCATTGATATTCCTTATCCCACTTTAAATATATTGAAAGTCCATCTGCAATTAACATATATATATATATATATATATATATATATATATATATATATATATATATATATATATATATATATATATATTAATCAAAAAGTAGTAATATAATAGGATGAGCCACTTGTATTGTCTGAATGACTTGTGTGTATGTGGTATGTAAAATTGATCATGTAGCATTGCAAAAGGATTTGAAAGATAGCGATGTGGATGCTCTTATGAGATTGTGACCACAAAAATGTGTGTTGCTACGGCAATTGTTTTTGTTCATCCGACAATTGTTGAAACCATATATTAAACTTGCGACACATTTTATTAAATACTAGGCGAATGCATCTGCGTTGCGCATGATAACAAAAAATATTTTATATAAAAATAACTAAATTATTCTCATTAACAAGTAAATAATAATTTCATAACAAATATAAAAAATATTTTTAATATTATCATTATGTTGAACTATATCATAAGATATAAGGTTGGAATTTGAAGTTGTTTTATGTATACAAAATTATATGGTTAAAATAGAAATATATATATATATATATATATATATATATATATATATATATATATATATATATAATTTTGAAAATAAATTAATCATCATTGTTATCTATTAAATAATAATTTCATATTAAATTAAAACGTTTATATTAAATATTATCATTTTATAGAACATACGATAATAGAGACATTATTTTATCTATCTTAAATATTATCATTATGTACAACATATGCTAATAGAGACATCTTTTTATCTTAAATAGTAAAAAAAATTGTATCAAAAATATTACTATAATTATGTAGAACATATGATAATAGCGACGTCTTTTATAAGGTTAGAACTTAAAATTGTATTACATACAGAGTTGTAAAATTTTGCTAACACAACCAAATACTTGGCATGTTACTTAAACTCGGCCTCCAATGGAAGCGAGTTTATCTACACAGCCAAAAGACACTCGGACATTAATCAAACTCGATCCAACTCAAAAAAATCCACTCCAAAATCATTTTCGAAATTCTAAAACTTAATTGGTCACTTGTCAACAAAGACAATCTCAACAAAGAATACCTTCAATGTCCTACAATGGTACACGCAAGGAAGATCTCATGGCTTAGTACCTTTGAAATATTTCACAACATTTCCTATTTATAGAAGAGAAGACATTCTCTTGTTTATTCTCATCATCGATGCGGGATAAAGACATCCTTAAAAATATTTCGCAACTTTTTCTATTTATAGAGGAGGAGATATCATTGAAATAAAATTAATAAAACATTCAAT